CAGCAGGCTGCCTCTGGGATGCTTGACAATGTCTGGGACATTTGGGGGTTTCACAGGTGGGACAGAGGGTGCTGTTGGCATCTAGTGGATGGACATAGGCCAGGTTGCTGGTAGACATTCAGCAAGGGACAGCCACCACATGTAAGAATGATTTGGCTCAAAATGTCTAGGCTAAGATGGAAGAATTTTGGTTTACATTTCAAAACTACTTACTCTTAATCACTGAGAATCAAGTAGACTGTAAACCAAAAGCAACATTAGAAATGAAATCATTAACAGATCTGTTACAGATCTGACAGGAGAGCTTACTTATTCCAAATCACATCATTTGCTAAAGATCATAACTTTGAGTAAATCATTTTCTACACTTTAAGAAATGGTTTTGGGACCCATGAAAAATATATTCATTTTATTTGTAAATATTATCTATTGACATATTATCTATTTATTTTTAAAATGGTGTGATTGATATTTGGTTATTATATATGGTCCTTAGTGGAATTATTTAAATTCTTCCAATGAGTTTCTAACATACCCAGATGGGAGTTGTGGGAAAGAATTCCATGAAGTCAAACCAGAAGGGGAGAGATGAGAGAGATTAAGCTACTGCAAGGGACTTGCTAGTTGTGGGAGCTAATGGTACCCAGCCTCCTCCTTGAAACTTGTCTCTAGAATCTCCTTTTTGAAGTATGTCTAAGTTAAGGATTAGATGAAAAGGAAGTCGGCAAATAAAAATGTGTGTATTTGTACGTAGGGGCTGAAGGGAGTAGAAAGGAGGTAAGAGAAACGCTTTGTTAGGTAGTTCCCTTCAAATAGAACCAATAAGGGTCTGAAGAAATTAACTATGAAAAGAACAAGCGTGGTGCAGTGGTCACACACAGGGCTGTGAGCCACCAGCCACTCCTCTGGAGAAAGACAGGACTTTCTACGCCCGTTGATAGTTACAGTCTTGGAAACTCACAGGGGAATTTCTACCCTGTCCTTGATGGTCGCTGTGGGCCTACATCGATTCGAAGGCAGTGAGTTTGCTTTTGACTTTATAGTTATTTTATTTGAATTATGCTACACTGCTCTCATTGAAACAATAGTTGTTACAATTTATGGTATCAATAGCATAAAACATATCATATGAAGTGTTATCATTTTCTAATGGACTATCTACACTCCTGGTGTACTTTTTTTCCCCCCCAGGACAAAACATTAAGGGGAAAAAGTGACCATTATTTACTACACTTAGCCAGTGAATTTGGCAAAAATATTATTATGTTTTGTTGGTGAGACTATATGTAGTAAATCATAGATCAAATCCATAATTTCTGCACGTACAGTTTAGTAACGTTGATTATGTCCTTACATTCTCGCCTTCCTTCTCTGAGTCGTTCTTCGCCCATTCATATTAATCAGCTCAAGTTCACACTCAAGTATGCTGCCTAACCGTTCAAGTTGCTGTTGTCAATTTAATCCTATAGCTAGTTCCTGGCAGACAGCAATGTTCAAGGCAGACAGCAATGTTCAAGGCAGACATTCCTGACAGATGAGGCTAAACTAGAATTGGTTTAAAGACCACTGGTATATTTTTGTTTTTAGGTTTGAAGACAATCTTGGGGCCATAGCGCAGGGGGTTCACCCAGCATTAGGGCTCCATAAAGTCATGGGTTCATGACAGTGTGAAATTCTGTTGTGCATTTTTTCTCTTATTGATCAGGATTCTTCTATAACATCTTAGACCTAAATAATGGAGTTATGGTAGCTGGGTGCTATCTGGTTCTTCTGGTCTTATGTAAATAGGCTAACCAATAACCCTTAATAAATAATATTTTCATAATTAACTTAGAAAGCCATTTATTAAATGCTCATTGAACATCTACTGTGTGCCAATGACTCTGTAACTTCCAGATATAAAATAATAGCAGTAAGATACTTACTTTCCTTTTTAAAAAGTCAATAATTAAGCCCACTAGATTCCTTTTCTAGTATTTCTTTAAAATTTTTTAACAGTTTTATTGACACATAATTCATATATCAAACAATGCAATGGTTTAAATATATTAAAAAGAGTTGTACAATCATTACCATAATCAATTTTAGAACATTTCCTTCTTTCTTGTACTCATGATTTTTGCTCCTCATTTCTCCCCAAACTCCCATGCTGGAACCCTAAGAAACTATTAATCCATTTACTGTCACTATAGGTATACCCAGCCTGGATGTCATATAAAGAAGAACATATAAAAACAAAACCCAAAAACAATAATGAAATTGAGAGAACCCTTAATTGAGAGCAGAAGATAATAAAAACAAGAACAAATTTTAAATGGGTCAACAGGGAGAACAAATGATAGTGTGATAACTTTTAACCTTACTACATCTGCATCGTCCACTTCCCAAAGCTCTCTGTCTGATAGCAAGGCTATTCACATCCCTGGTCATGGTCAGAGGGATCCACTGGGGGCTTCATTCGTGTGGAGACCCTGCAAATGGAGTTTGGGCTTTCACTGTCATCCATAGCTCTCTGCAAACCAGTTCTAGCACTTCTTTTTAAGTAGCCTACTGCGATACTTCATGCAAATGTAAAGGAAAGATTCCTCACATCTTGGAAATTAAACTCCATATATTTTAAATAAGCTGCATATAGAGGGTAGGGCAAGTGAATATAAAAAAACAAACAAACCAAACTACTAAAAGTTTTGTTTTATAGACAAGGCTATGGGAGATTGGGATTCCTGGGTGGTGCAATCTGTGAAGTGCTTGACGACTAGTCCAACATTTGCTGGTTCTAGCCCAGCTGGAGGTGCCGCTGACAAACGGATCTGACAGTCTGAGTCTGAAAAGCTCAGCCTTGAAAACCATGCAGCAGGTCTATTCTACATACACGGGGCAGCCAAGAGGTGGAATGGACTCTGGCCGCTGAGAACAATTCTGGATAATTTAATTTTTGACTTGGTTACAGAAGTATAACTTTATCATAAATGTAAAGGCAACTATAAACTCCCAAATTCACTGCTATGAGTCGCTCCTGACTCATAGTGACCCACTAGGATCAGGTCAGACTGCCCCCGGTGGGATTCCAAGACTGTAACCCTCTATGGGCCTAGAAAGCCTTGTCTTTTGCCGACTCTCCTTCAGAACGGCAACTGGCTTCAAACTACCTACTGATGTGTGGTCAGCAGCCTGAAGTGTAACCACTAGGCAACGAAGGGTCCTACCACAGAGTACTAGACACAGAATAGATCAGAACACTTCAAAGAGTTGTTGGAAACAGTCTGTTCTCTTTCAGTTCCGTTTTTTTCACAAAGTTTTTGAAGCCTTTTCATATTATTTTTAAGCACTTGAAGTAAAAGAATGAAGGCAACTTGCTTGTACAAAACCGAGAAAACTATAGATAAGTATATTGTGTTCAGATTTTTCTATTTGTGCATTTATTTGAATATAAAACATTTTCATGCATTTTCCAATTTTCTTTGTTTTTACAAGGTTTAGAACCATATATATATCAGAAAATGAAAAGTAAAGGAATTGAACGACACGCTGTGCAAGTCAGTGATTACCTAAAGCAGCCTCACGAGGTAGAGACCTCTCGCTTGATAGTTCAAACAGCGCTCATGCTCCTGCTTCTGCATATCATTGTCTGGCTCTATATCTCACCTCATATCGCTTAATTTATGAAGTCTGTTTTTTAAAATTAATATTGAATTTAGGTCTTTGTTCCAAAACTGTCTACTGGATTTCTGCTCTCCGTTTCTCAAACCCCACCCTATCATTTTCTTGCTTTTCCTTACAAAATGTACCTATGTATCTGATAATTTCCTCTAGAGATGTTTTGCATGTTTTGGAATGGTTTCCAAATATATGGTGGTTTCCATGTGAAAGAAAAATAAGCCATTTAAAATATGGTTTTAAGAGGTAGCTCTATAATCAGCATATGGAAGATACCGGGAGAGGGCTTGGAAAGAGAAATTTGTAGCTACTGCAACTTTCCAAGGAAGGAATGGTTACTTCTGGAGGGCGGTGAGTCTGTCGTCATGCAAACATAGACTGGATGACCCCTTGGCAGGTGTGATGCAGGATCTTTGACATTGTAGAACATAGGATGACAGGTGCTTCTCCAAGGCTGACATTCTCTGATTTTTCAGTCTGTCTAATCACACAATCTGCAACTATCTGCCCGTTTAAATGCCATCTACTATGTGCAAGACACAATAGAGTTAGAGTATCTCATGGCATTGAATTTTGCTCTTGCTATGAGCGTTGTCTATATGAACTTGAAAGTACATGTACACTGACAAGCTCAGAGGTCCTTGTAGGAATGTACTCTGTAATTTTGAAAGTCAAATATGCGGTTACTTGATGGAGGCAGAGGCCTCTGTTAAAACACTCTCTTTGTGTAGGTTACAGAACTTTGTATCTTCATAAATCACCAACTTCATTAGCTATATCTCTGCAGTGGGTCTAATGGCAGTGTTTGTTCAGGGATAAAGCTCAGAAGGTAAGAAGAGATAGTAAATACAGAGGAGTGGAAAGGGCAGACACAGGGAGGAGGGCAGAGTACCATTACCTTGTGGCAATGGCGATTAATGTCAAGCAAATGTGCGTGTATTGTTGACTAGAAAGCCAATTTGCTCTGTAAACTTTCACCCCAAGACACACAAGCACACACATACGCACACACAAAAGAAAACGCTCCCCAAAACAAAAAAACAAGGGTGGTGGTGGCTAATGCCATCCTTATGAGAATATAGGAAAAAACAAACAAATAATAACAACTGTATAAATGCCCTAACGTAATGTCGGCATGCACTAGATTTCTAGAACTATTCATTGAATCTCATAGGAAGTATTATGAAGTATATACAAGTCATTTTACTTTAAAGCTCTGTTAGCAGAAGACTTACCCGCTCTGTAAATGGCAGTCATCAGCTGAAGGGACCATCTACTGATGAGAGACCGCACTAAAGCAACCGTGGTCACCCTTGATCTCCATGGCTCTTTCGTGCCATTAACGATTTCACGTTTATTTCTCATAACACTCGCATACTGTAACCTTTTCGCTGAAGATACTCCCATGAGAATAGTTTTGTTCTATGACAGACCATCACTACATTGAGTTAGTTACCCTTACGTTGTGCTAAAACCAAGCATCTTTCTAGCTTGGGTTTAGTACTGGGACTGAAAGAGAAATGGGCTAGAAAAAAAGAAAAGCAAAATATACCAGACTCTAGTAATGGGAACATTAGTGGAAACTTGGGTTGGGGTTTGTGGGACACACATGTAATCACCTCTTCCCTCTGCTCAGGACCTGACCACAAACTCTTGGTGGAATTCCAGATGTACCAATATCAACAGGTCCACTCTGTGAGTAGGTCTAAATTTCTCCGGTTAAGCATCATTGACTGCTTCAGCTTCTTCGTTTTAGCCCTGGTTGGTAGCAAACTTTAATTTGGTCAGAAAAGCGGGAAAAAGTGACTATCTAATGACAGTATTTTTTCTTTTGTTAGCAATAATGAAAATCATTTCTTCTCCAAGTTTTCCTTTCTGACAACAAAATCTCTTCTTTGTGCCCCTTTACAATATAATGAGGCATATACTCCTACCGCCACTTAAGCATTTGCCTTTTTTAGTGTTAAAAGTGGAATAATGATTATTGTATCAATTCTTATAGGTAAGATTGTGAATTTGCATTGGAGAATGAAACTAATCTGCCTTACCTGGATAAGAATATGTAGAGTGATGATCTGATTTAATTTTTTGCTTGAAAAAATGATAATTATTTCCAATGTTTTTCTCTTAGCACATGAGGTTGATTCTTCTCATTTTTCCCCTTTCATTTTTCAGTAATGTCCTAATTTCTCGCCAAAGCCATAAGGACTGGGAAAGAAAGGGAGAAGGTGGGGAGAAAATCAAGGAGAAGGGGAACTCACTTGCTTGTGGATCTAAAAATCCTCTGGATTTTATTTGCTCAAAGAGGTAGACAGGCACGTGGCTACTAACTGAAAGGTTGACAGTTCAAATTCACCAAGAGGCCCCTTGAAGAAAGGCCCGGCAATCTACTTCCAAACTGTCACAGCCTTTAAAGACGTCCGGGGCAGGCACCCTGCTCCTGTGACGTGCGTGGAATTCTCTTAATTCAGAATGGACTCAATTGGGGATTTTTTTGTTTTTCAACTTTAGTTATTCAGAGAAGTAAAATTTGAAAACCAACCAAGAAAGTTTCCTCTATTTTGTTCTTGGTGTTTTCTGCCATTCCACACTCCACCCCCACCCCCACGCCCCCAGATATGCCATCACCATAGCTGTCTAATCGATAGGAGATACCACGCAGGTAGAGATGAGTTTCAGTCTGCAGTCAACTTGTCCTTTGAGATGGAGGGAGTGCTGATGGTGGAGGGTAACACATTGGGCTACTGACCCACCAGTAGCTCTGAGGAAGAAGAATGGGGCTGTCTGCTTCCATATTTTCAGTCTCAGAAACCCAAAGGGCAGTTCTCTGTCCTGTAGTGTTGCTAGTTGCTATGAGCCGGAATGAAGTTGGCCGTGGTTTGGGTTCCCCTGAGCTCTCCTCACACTCTCTCTGTACAAATTGACCTCCAGACTCAAAGGACACACGATTCTCTTCACCCGAAGGTTCAGGAGTTTGTGCTCACGCAGAGTTGTGGGTTATTGCAGCATGAAATGAAACAATAATTGTGATTGTACTTTCTCCCCTAAGGACCTTATATACTGGAGATATTCTTTGAATGCGTTTATTCAGACTTGCCCGTGGCCACGTGTGCACTTGAGCAGGGCAAGTAACAATTTAAAGTGAGCTAATTTCAGCCCGTGAACATTTAGGGGCCACGTGGGCTAATGAAACTGATTTGTAGGTATGTCCGGAGACATTCAAAGACTCATTTGTAGGCATCTGCTTTGCATAGTTCAGGAACCCTTTAGTTTAATTGATCCGGTGCCACACAAACACAGTAAAATCTTATATCTGTTGTGTGATCACATAGCTAATTAAAGAAAATAACTGCTTTTAGTTAGCTTTGGGCATACAGTAAATGATTTCCATGACTATCTGGTGCCTGCTTTTCTATAAAAATAAGTAGAGGTTGGGAAACTATTGATAAGGATATTGGGTAACAGGTAACGTAGCTTTCAAAGAATTTACGTGTGTGTGTTGTTGTTACAGTGCTCTGGTGGTGCAGCAGTTAAATGCTCAGCTGCTAAATAAAAGGTTATCAGTTTGAACCCAGTGACCACTCCCTGGGAGAAAGATGTGGCGGTCTGCTTCCAGAGAGCTTCACAGCCTTTGAGACCCCATAGGACAATGCTGCTGTATCCTATGGGCTGACTATGCGCTGGGCTTGCGAGTAGCAGAGTTTTGTGGTGGTTGGGTGCCATCAAGTAGATTCCGGCTTCGAGCCACCCGTGGGGAGGTGGAGAACTCCCCAGGGCTTTCTAAGCTGGCACATGGACAGAAGGAGATCTTTAAGCCTTTTGTCTCCCGTGTCTCTTGGTGGACTTGAACCACCAACCTTTCAGTTAGCAACAGAGCGTTAACTGTGGCACCAGCAGGGCTCATATATATCCTGTGTTGTTATTGCTTTACCTATTATTTCCTTTCTTTGATCATTGAATCATTTACAGCATGAAAATAACTTCATCCCCCCCCCCATTTTCTCTAAACAGGTTGAGAAGTTCAAGTGGAATTGATAGTAAGTTTTCATATTAAAAGCTTTCATTATTATTATTACTATTATTTTCCATTGCATGAGTAATAAGGCTTGCTGTCCTGCTGGTATTTTTGTAGTTTGGGAAATTCTATTTATGATTCAGCACAGTGAACTACTCATTGGGTGGCTAACCCCAAGGTCAGCAGTTCAAAACTACTAGCTGCTCCCTGGGAGAAAGTCTTGGCTTTCTAATCCCATAAAGCATTAACAGACTTGGAAATCCACAGGGGCAGTTTTACACTAACTTATAGTTTCACTATGAATTCAGAAGCAACTCGGTGGAAGTGAGTTGGGTTTTTAATTTTATTTGAAGTAAGAAGTTCAATAAAAGAATAGAAAATTAAACATCTTTCTCCAAAAAACTTAAAAATTTCCTATGTTTTGTGATGATTCTGGTTTGTGTGTGTGTGTGAGTGAGGTCATCATCAATTCATTCATTTCCACAGCCCCACACTTGATCATTTGTTTCCAAATCGAAACCACACTCGCTGCCTTCGATTCGATTCTGCCTCATGGCGACCACAGAGAACAGAGTGGAACTGGCCCTGAGGAGCTCTCAGGTGGTGACTCTCATGGGAGGAGAAAGCCTCACGTTTCTCCCCTGGGGAGGAGCTGGTGCATTTGAACATGTGGCCCACCATGCAACTGCTACGCCGCATTGGTTTAGTTGTTTATTGCTAATTCTGAGACATTCCTGAAATTGTACGAAGAGCTTCAAAAAGTTCATGGAAAAATGGAGTGAAAAGATTGGCATTTTCCTAAAACATACTGAAGCCCCATTGTATGTAAATGCCATCTCCTTTACAGTTTCAGCAGAACTCCATGCCCCAAATGGCTCAGTCAGGACACAGATCATGGGGGACAGCTGCATGGCGACGCCCCTCTCAGTAGCTACTCTCAGACTCAGGTGGTCTATTAGCACCTTTATATGTTCTGGACCATCTGAGGGAGAGTGAGACCCTTTTCTTTATGTTTCATCCTGCTTCTTCTGGTTTTCTGTTCCCTTCTTGCCGTTAATTCCTTCTTTTCAGCTTGAAAACACATTCCTATCCAAAGTAAAATGATTTTTTGGTGTTCAAATTTCCACTCCTTATCCTTTCCCCCCAAATTAATTGAGAGACTATTGATGATTGAACATCGGTCTACTGCCCATGGTTGGTGTCTCTACCACACGACTGAAGCCCACTGTAACTGCCAAGTAATGGGACGTCTCAGCCTCATCTAACTGGTGCCTTTTGAGGTTGGCATTATCCTCCTTGACATTCCCTCCTTTCCATGTGTCTGTGAGCGCCTTCTTCACGGCTGGCCTTTTCTTTCTTTGTTGATGGGCTCTGGATCTCGGATGGTCTTCTCTTCTTTTAACAATGACAGCAATGTCAGTCATTTACAGTCCTCTTTCCAGCCCACTCCTTTTGGCTGTCAACTTCCCTTATACCCCCAAGCATCTTAGAGAACTGCCTGTGTTTCTCCACCCCACTGTTTTTGCTTCAAGGTCTCCAGCTTTTATTTTCCAACCATCTCCACAAGTATCATTGTGATTTAAGTTATCATCATCTCTCTCAGATAGTGTGACCTCCAAACTATTGATCTTGAACAGTGTATTTCCTAAGAGCAGCCCAAAGAATCCCTTTAAACTCGAAGTTGAATTTAAATCACCCCTCTGTTCCAAGAGCATTCCATTTCACTTTGCAGAAGTGAAGTTAAAAACTGCCTACAAGCCTGTTGATCTGCTCTCAGCAGCCTCCCAGCTTCATTTCCTCCCTGCTCATTGCAATCTGATAAGATGGCCTTCCTTAAGCACGGAAAGCAAGACTCTGCTTCAGGATGTTTGCACAAGATGTTTTCTATTCCTTTATCAGGCCCATGCTCAAATTCCACCTTCCAGAAACCACCAGCCACTTCAAGGGAGAAAGATGGGGCTTTCTGTTCCCACAGAGTTACAGGCTCCAAAACTCACGGGGGCAGCTCTACCCTGTCCTACAGCATTGCTATGAGCTGTTATGTTAGACAGGGTTCTTTAAAGAAACAAAACTAGGACACTTATGGTGATTGGTGTATATATATATATATTCATATATATGAAAATATACATATATTTTCATAAGAAATAAACAGCTAATTATAGAGTATTACCAATGGCTCAGTGCAACTCACTTCTTGAGACAGCGAATACACTGGAAGTCTTTCAAGTCTTGATGGCTGCCTGGGGCAAGTCAAGGAAGCAGACAGCTGAGTCCTCTGTTGAGCAATTGAGGCTATCCTGTCACAGGCAGCAAACAGCAAGGCAGGTCACTAACAGTCAGCCAGATGACAGGGTCTGACAGTCCCCACTTCAAGCAATGTATATACAGTAGCGTGGCAAAGCAGGTCTCGAAGAAACCTCAAACTACAGTTCAGGGGTTGGGTGTCCCACAGCTAGTGTAGCTTGCAAATTGAGGCAGAGAACCAGCTAAGGCAGCTGCACACTAGTCTGATCATCAAAGAGCAGGAGACAACAAAGGTGAGGCTCGCTGAGCCATTTATCTCTTGGCCCTTAAATTAATGCCACATGTGTTCATGAGCCAGGCTGGCACAATAAACCTATGTATCACAGTTGGCATCGACTCAATGGCAATGTGTTTGGTTTTTGGCTTGAGAGATGCCTTGATTAACCACCTTATACAGTATGACGTAGCCCTGTCCTCTATCCTTCAAGACCTTTCACCTGCTATGTACCTGATACTATGTACTCTATCCAATACTTGTCTGTCACTTAGTTGTACTCTGCTTGCTGATGTGTTACTATGATGCCGAAAGCTATGTCACTGGTATTTCAAATGCCAAAAAAGTTATCTAAAGTGAACAGGTTTCAGTAGCGTTTCCAGACAAAAAACAGACTATGAAGCAGGAATAGGCTGCCCATTACAGAGACAGTTAGCCACTGAAAACACAATGATTAGCACAGAAACATTGTCAGTTATTGAAAACAATGGATAGAAGGAGAACATTATCAGAGATAGTGCCAGGAGATGAATCCATCTTGTTGGAAGACCCTCAGAATGCAACCGAGGAAGAACTTCCTCCTCCAAGTACAGTTGACCATATGACTTAGATAGCGTAAAGTCGGTGGGAGTAAAGACGTGTGACGCTCATTTGCCGATGGGGTAGGGCTCCAAATAAGAAGAAACAGCTTCAAACATCAATTAAGAATTGGAATTTCAAATGTATGAAGTATAGATAGAGGAAAATCGGAAGTCATTCAGAATGAGATAGAACACATAAAGATTGATATTCTAGGTCTTAGTGAGTTGACATGGACGGGTATTGGTCATTTTGAATAATAAAACCATGTGGTTTCCTGTGCCAGGAACGACAAAATCAAGAGGAATGGAGTTTCCTTCATGGTCAAAAAGAACATATCAAGATCTACTGATCTCTCCTTTCTGTGATGGGATAATGTCTACCTGAATATAGGGAAATCTAATCAATAGAACTATTATTCAAATTTATGTACCAGCCATTAAAACTAGTGATGCAGGAACTGAAGAATTCTACCAACATCTTGAGACTCAAATTGATCAAACACACAATTGAGATGCACTGATAATTATTGGAGATTGGAATGCGAAATTTGTAAACAAGGAGGAAGGAATAATAGAAAATATGGTCGTGGTGATAGAAATGAAGCCGAAGATCCCATGACAGAATTTTGCAAGAACAAGGACTTCTTCATAAAAAATACCATTTTAAAAAATCAACAACAGAAATGGCGATTATACACATGAACTTCCCCAGATGGAATACACAGAAATCAAATGGACTACATCTGTGGGAAGAGACTATGGAGAAGCCAGGGAACAGACCATCAGATGCAAGTTCAGGTTGAAGTTGAAGAAAATGAGAACAAGTCCATGTGAGCCAAAATATGACTTTGAGTCTGTCCCCGGATCTTTGACAGCATCTCAAGGACAGATCAATGCCTGACCACGGATGACAGAAGACCCGATGAGCTGTGGGAGGACATCCAGTACATCAGACACGAAGAAAGCAAAAGGTCATTAAAAAGACAGGAAAGAAAGAAAAGGTCAAAGAAGGTGTCAGAAGAGACTCTGAAACTTGCTTTGAATCATAGAGTAGCTGAGGCAAATGGCAGAAATGATGCCGTCAAAAAGCTGAACGGAAAATTTCAAGGGGCAGCTTGAGAAGACAAAATCCAATATTACTATGAAATGTGCAAAGATCTAGAGTTAGAAAACCTAAAGAGAAGAATACCCTCAGCATTACGCAAACTGAAAAAAGTAAAGAAAAAAATTCAGGGCTTGAGGTGTATTATTAAAAGATTCTATGGGAAAAATATTGGATGATTTAAGAAGCATCCAAAGAAGATGGAAAGAATACGCAGAGTCACTGTACCCAAAAGAACGAGGTGACATTCCACTATTTCAAGAGGTTGCATATGAGCAGGCACCAATGGTAACGAGGGAAGGAGTTCAAGCCGCACTGAAAGCACTAACCAAAAGCCAGGGTCCAGGAACTGATGGAATACCAATAGAAATGTTTCTTCAACTTGATGAAACACTGGAAGCACTCATTCATCTGTGCTGGGAAATTCCGAAGACAGCGAAATGGCCAACTGACAGGAAGAGATCCATATTTTTACCCATTCTAAAGAAAGGCGACCCAACAGAACACACAAATTATAGAACAAGATCACTGATATCATCTGCAAGTACAGTGTGGGTGCTTTAGAGAAACAAATCCACAGAAACTCATATGTAAAAGAGAGAGTTTTATATGAAGGGTAAGTATGCATCAAGAAAACATCCCAACCAATCCACAGAAACTCATATGTATAAGAGAGAGTTTTATATAAAGGTTAAGTGCGCATCAAGAAAATATCCCAACCCAGTGCTGCCCAAGCCCACAAGTCCAACATTAACCCACATGGCCAACACCAATCCACAAAGTCCTCCTCCATCTCACGAAACACACTCAGTGATGCTGACTGAAGGAGGAAAGCCGAGTCAGTGAGTGAATGTGTAAGCTTCTCAGCGCTGGCAGGGGTCTCCACACGGCTGCTCCAGCACCCAGGGCTGCATCGGGGTAGGTCCATGAGGCTTCTCCTTGGGGATACCCTGTAGAAAGTGAGCCTTGCCAGCTGAAGCAGGGACCTGGCTAAGGCAGCTGCACCCTGGTCCAACCATCACAAAGCAAGAGACCCGAGAACTTAAATGGCGAGGCTCACCGAGCCATTTATCCCTCTGCCCTTCAATTAACCCCACATGTGTTTATCGGCCAGGTTGGCACACTAAACTTTAACTAACTCAGATGGCGAGACTATGTCTGATGTCCTTTGGGCCTGTTATCAGGAGAGACCATTTCCCGGAGAAGGACATCATTGTTAAAGTGGAGGGGCAGCAGAAACGAGGAAGGCCCTTGACGAGGTGAACTGACACAGGCAGCTGCACCAATGGCCTCAAACAGAAGAACAATTGTGAGGGTGGTGCAGGACACTGTGCTGTTTGGTTGTGTTTCACGTAGGGCCCTATAGGTTGGAACGAACTCAAAGACTCCTAACAACAACAACAGGCATTATTCACACTATATTTTCACTTATTTATTTGTTCGGTTTCTATTTATCTTTACTCGGATGTACGTAGAGACACCATCGATCTGTTTTGATGACCACTTTCCCCTTGATCGTAGCCTAGTGCCCGAGACATAGCACAGACAGGCGCACTGCTGTTGAGTTGGTGCTGACTCCCGGCAGGCCTATAAGGACAGGGCAGAACTGTCCCCGGGGGTTTGCTGAGACGAACTCTTACAGGAGTAGACAGTCTGAACGGCTGTTGGTTTCAAGCTGCCAACCTTGTGGTTAGCAGCCTAGCGCCACTACCATGGCACCAGGGCTCCTGAGCCATAGTAAGTGCCCAATAAAGAGAGCCTGAATGAATGTGAATAGAATCTTACAATTCCTGCAGTGATGAAGTCAAGATTGAAAGCTAGTTTGATCCATCTCAGATGCCCTTACTTTTAAAATATTTCCCTCTCTTTGTCTACAGAGATCGTAATCTTCTGAGTAAAATTAGCTTGCTCCATACCTTTGGTATCGACCTCTAATATATTGTTAGCACACTGTGACTCTAGTTGACATTGCTTTCTCTCCCAGTCTATCTTTTGTTGACTAGAAGCAGTATCTTCAGTATCTCTCTGGCACGACACATGGTGGAAGCTGAACACTTGTTTTTGCTCTTTGATGCTTGAATGAATTCAGAAAGGAATGGTTTTTCCTGCTGGTCTTACTTTTACCAGGCACCTCACCCAGCCCCAGAGGAGGTCATTCTGGTTCCTTTGCTTACCCAGCAAGAGAACCCAGAGCGATCGGTGAAACTCGGCTCATTATGTTGTTTACTCTACTTGGTATAAAGCAGTTACTACCAGGAGACGGAAGCTCTTCGCTTTAATTTTGCTTTTATGAAAAGGTGAAACAGCGGCAGAGGATTTCTTGGAAGTCTTATGCTTTAGGACTTGACCTGCTAGAAGAGAATCAGTTAAACTCGGAAGAGATGTTTTCAACACACAGTCCCCTGTAACCAAGTAAATCCCTTGGTTTTATATTATCTCCTGCCTCCTTTGTTCTTGGTATATACCTTTTAATGTGTTGCCATACTTTTGTTGCTATTTTAGGTCAGTGAAGTTGTCTGCAAATAACTTGGTATTAATCATGTCTTTATATGGGTACTGCATCTTGGTCGGGAGCTCGGAGAATTGTGCTTTGGGGATGTCATGAAGTGTGATGGGCAGCTGAGTGCCCTCTGCAACCCAGAGGTATAATTGGTTCAGAGGAAATACATCTTGGAGGCTAATATTACCTGTCTTTCTTCAATTCCCCATATAAATATGTTTGGAGATATTACATTGATGATTGGAAGCTGTCAGGATACCCCCTAATATAATGTGGTTAAAGAATATTAGGCAATCTTTTTCAAATACCGAGAAGCCTTTCTTACTAACCTGCTCAATAACAGCTTCAAAAGCAATATATTCATAAGCATGTATTTATCTCCAGCCAAATAATTAAAATGCCAATCTTCTCTCTAATTTCAGAAATCTCAGCCTCCTTAAAAAGCCCTCAAGAGCCTCACCATTATTATTCAGGTAGGATGCGTGTGCACATGGACATGTCGACTGAACCAAACCTCTGTGGTCCTGCCTTTGCAAATAGATATATTGATGAGTCCTGTAAGATTGCAATGGCGTCCCACCTGAAGAGTTATGGCTCATGAGATGAACATTCAAATTTCTGACCTTTCTCTTCATTGGGAAGAACAAGTTGTTGGGATTTGAGAAAAGTTAGGTTTAATAAAATGTTGGTTTGTATTGGCCAATTTCCAAAGTGGGAAGGAAAAAGAAGACCTTTGGTACTAAACATCCCTTACAGGAGCAGAACCAGTCCAAGGCCAGGGTTCTCAGTACTTTAGTGTGGGGTAGCCACAGACCTGCAACTAGTTCTTGGGAGGTTTTGCATCTCCCCGGCCCCTCTGTAAACATGTCCACTGACTGGACGCCAACCCCAAAGAGTAAGATCAACAATGACACTTTACAAAGATGTTATTCGACAAAGGGTCTTGACTCTCTTAAGCAACACCATTTTATAGTGCTCTGGTTGCCTTTCTTTCAAAGTGGGGATAATTGTACCTGCCCTTTCCCAAGGAACCATCTGCCAAAGGACTAGTTGAGAATTTAGAGAAAACACTTTTAAATGCAAAGCAATATAACAACCAACTGGGCTAATGCCATTGGGTGGTCTCTAGGGCGTCATTGCCTGCCACGGTGGATGAGAATACAGGGGCAAGCCTTTCCCCCAGTCTAAAGTTCAGCACTTAGGTAAGAGCTTTTGGTATCATAATTACAACTATTAATATGTTAAGGTCATTTGATTAGAGTCCAGCAATAGACTGCTTTATACTGAATTCTCCTTGGCGGTGGGTAGTATTTCTGTGGAGTCCTGACTCTTTCGTTCACGCTCTCAGGACTGTTTTCAGCTCAACAGTAATCTATTACTTCTGCGTCAGCTGTCAACCCTTGAAAGGCAATGGTGAGGAATGGCATAATTCATATGGACTCTGATCCGCTGCGGTAGGGCTCTTAATAAGAAAGCGCTGCCTCTTTCCTCCTCATTAGAATCGGTCTTTGGTTCTCTCTGGGAGATAAAGATGAAATGTGCAGAATGAACAGTAGATGTCCCCACAGTCCACTGTGCGTTAGCTTTGCTCTGGAAAAGAGAACAGTGTGCAGACCCCGATCAGAATGCCGTTTAAAGGAGAGTTCCTCGTATGCATGGATTCATCTAAATCTGGTGTGCAGGAGAGTGGAAGCGAGACCATGTTACATAATCTCATATAAATGGTGCCTATGTAAGGTATCAAAAGACATCAAAGTTTTCAAGATCCTCTATTAAAGTATTGCTTTAAAACGGTATCATAGGTAATATTGTAATATTAATTTTCAATGTCAATTGTAGCACAGATCATGTCAAGAATGAAAAACTGGTTTTCAAAATGGAATGTTTTAGCATGATATTAATATAATGATGTTGGGAAGGCTTTTGCAAACGTAACCCACTGAGACATACTTAAACTAGTAACTATTTTTTGGTGTGTGTGTGTATGTGTGTGTGTATGTGTAACAACAATAAGAGAAAAGGGCCATTTCATTGTGGTTTACATCATGCTGTGTAACCATCACTACGCTCCATCACGCTCACGTGAGTCTGTTTTTTGTCTGCAGCCATTGAAAGGAACAATTTAATGAGACTCTCTCAGACGATACCATTTACCCCAATCCAGCTGTTAGGTGAGTGCTGCTCCGCCTTGCTGAGGTATGCCCATGACAAGGCCAGAACCACCTTCAAATACATCCAAAGAGAATGGGTTCTCTTTCATCGTGTAGCTGAAATGTTTGTTTTCTGGATGGCTATGGTGTAATGAGATTGATTTCCTACAAATGGAAGCTCTTGGTAAGTGCTCTGGTGGTTTACCTAGAATCACAACCTGATTCTCTGCGGATGGGACCTCTACTGAGCAGCTGGTGGGAAGAAGGCCATGATGTTGCACCTGGCATTCACTGATTCAAGACTGGAAGTAAGTAGTGAAGAAAGGGTCAAAGCAACCATGCATACTAACCGAGGAAGCCATCAAGGTCGACGTGGCAAAAGCCAACAAACATCCAAACAGAAGTGCTTTGTAAATTGTTTTCTTATTTTTTTTGTTTTGTGTGGTGTCCACGAATTTCTCAGAGCTCAGAAAGCAGTGGTCATTTTTACAGGCTGGAGTAGTAAGGAAATGGAGTGCTTAAATAGCTTATGCAAAAGCACATGCCCCTGGTCATGTCTGACTCTCTAACTGGGTTCAATCCTGCAGTCTCAATGGAGGTAATGAACTTCCAAGGGACAATGGCATCTTTTTATTTGTATGTATAGAGCATAACTACACTTGTAAGAGACACATAAAAAGTACTCAGCATGTGCATGGTTATAGATCTCAGGGGGGGCAAGTTCGGTAATATGTCTGATAGGTCCTTTAATTAAGGAGATGACCATGCACTTTCTCTGTAGAGACGTTCTGTTAACAAAAGTAACAACATAGGTTCACAAACTTATTTGGCCTACCTCCTCCTTTTCAGAAAAAAAAAATTACCCAGTTCCCCTTTCTCCCGGCAATTAAAAACCTTTGTACTCTAGTCAATAATCCAAGGTCAAATGGAGTCATCTGCTTTTGCTGCGCCCCCTGCATTGCTCCAGCAACCGCCCCCTCTGGGGTGGTAAATGTGCAACTTTGGTATCACCCGCTGCTCTACTACCTTAGTTACACTGTTGTCGAGAATGATAGTCCTCACGAAGAACAGCTTCGCCTTGTATATTTGAGATCCACGCTCCTATTCTGCGCTTGTCCCGTCTTAGGTGCGATTCCCATTCCTCTCTGATCACTGAGCTGGCTCCGACCTGATATATTTATGGCTGCCATGATGTCAACATCCTCCCTTCTTTTTGCAACAGGAGAAGAAGTGACGGTCTACAGGCTAGAGGAGAGTTCCCCTTTGAACCTGGATCGAAGCATGTCCTCCTGGTCCCAGCATGGGAGAATGGCCATGATCCAGGTGTTGTCCCGAGAAGAGATGGACGGCGGCCTCCGGAAAGCCATGAAAGTTGTCAGCACCTGGTCGGAGGGGGACGTTCTCAAGCCAGGGCAGGTTTTCATTGTGAAGTCCTTTCTTCCGGAGGTGGTACAGACCTGGCGTAAAATCTTCCGGGAGAGTACCGTGCTCCATCTCTGCCTCAGGGTAAGCCTGCATCCCCTAGGAGTGGAGCAGTGATGAGCTCAGTCCGAGAATTGAGAGCTGGCTACGTCCTGTCTGAGGCCATGATCCCTAACCCAAAGGATAGCTTATTCGTTTGGAAGCTGCTAGGGGCATGGCAGAAGATGAATAAAGCTAAAAATCAGTTAGGACGTCTCTAGGAATGCATGGTCATTAACTAGTTGGTAGGTGATGTTGTTTTAGGTGCCATTGAATCAATCCAACTCACGGCAACTCAGCATGGCGCACCGCACCATGCCCAAAGTCATTGCTGTGTTTGAGCCGATTGTTGTAGGCACTGTGGTAATAACTTCTTGTTTTAAATCAATGCTCCTGCAGGAAATTCAGCAACAAAGAGCGGCTCAAAAACTGATCTATACCTTCAACCAAGTGAAACCGCAAACTATTCCCCACACGCCAAGGTGAGGATCCTGGCCTTTCATTTCAAAAGGAATTCCCATCGACCTCTTCTCAGCTCCATTTATCTGGGGAAAGGCCTAGACTCACCGGGACGTTCCCGAGGACCTTGTTTTTAGGATCTTGCTTCAATTACTTGAAGTTATATGAAAGAATGCGGCAAGTTCTGGGAGAGGCCACGATGAACAGTTTTGTTTTGCTGAAAGAGCAGATCCTAGGTGTAAGTCCTAACATCCACAAAAACAGACAGGCTTTTCTGTTTTAAGCATGGTTTCTTCCCAGATATCTTATAGAAATTAGAAGCTTTGTAAGACTACGCTCTTGCATTCATTTGTCAAGACCTTGCTAACAATACGATACTAACTTGGTTCTGTACAGTTAGGTTTTATTGTTTCATTGATAGGGAACTCTGTCGACCGCGGCAAGAAAAGTTGGGCCTAGTACTGATCACAAGCGTTGAGCTGAAATGATCACTCAAAGGGAAGGGAGGAAAGCTCTCTGCTCGCTGCCTTTTCCATAGAAAGGGCAAGGGCAGGTGCAGAGAGGCTGCACCAGACCAGAGTTAGGTCATCTTACCTGTTCTTGACTGTTGAGGAAGCTAAATCCCACCGTTGCTGTCGGGTGAGAATCAATGGTGTCTTTTTACATCACAGGTTCCTGGAAGTTTTCCTAATCTACTGCCATTCGGCTAAGCAATGGTTGACCATTGAGAAGTATATGACAGGAGAGTTTCGCAAGTACAACAACAACAATGGTGATGAAATTGCCCCCAACACTGCCTTGGAGGAACTGATGTTGGCTTTCTCTCACTGGACCTATGAGTACACCCGGGGAGAGCTGCTCGTTTTAGACTTACAAGGTGATTGATGGCAGAAAACAGGGTACAGTCAGCAGGAGGAAAAGTTTAGAAAAGCTTGGGTGTGAAGGGCTTTCTTACCGCCATTGTCAGATGTGTCTGGCCTCAGGAAAACATGCTGGTACTTTCTTTGCTCAGGGGCTTGGTTGAGTTTTTTTGGGTGAGAACAACTCTGAACAGTGTTCGGTGTGCACGCCTCTCTTTGAAGAAGGGAGGTGTGGTCATTTGTTTCAGAGACTTTGTACAGGGATAATAACGAGGATTTGATATGTTTCCCATTTATCAAAGGGCAAGTATAGGCAGATGACTAGCTGCTTAAAATTTATAGATGTCCCAAACAATGACCAGGAGGCACAGCAGTTCAGCACTCTGCAATAGCAGCAGCTACAACAACAACAGGTTGATGTAATAGAGAATGATTTTTGTAATAAATTGTCTCATTTTATGACTCTGCCCGGGTCTCATATGCACAAGGAAAATTGAGGTATGTATTAGTAGACTCCGGAGCCTTTCAGTTTGGGTCAGTTTCTGGGGTTTTGAGCTCATTGCCGCTGTACTTTATAATTCGTTTGCTCTCTTTGCAGTTCACAAAAGCACACCCTTGGTCTGAGAGAGGCGGCACACTCTTTTTTAATGGAAGCCTTTGATCAGTTCATCTCCCCACTATCAACACCTCACATGTGATTGATAATCCTGCAGCCCGAAACAGAGCATCTCCGGCAGGCTTTCCTGGCAGGGACAGAACGAAATGTGTATTCAGGTCAAAGTTTAGTCCTTGGGCTCACTGATGGGGACTTTGGTTTTAAATAAGGGATTTAGCCCAGGAACTTTTATGTAAGTTATCACATTTAATCCCAGCAGCAGCAGCAGCACCTCCAGGTAGATATTATGGGGAATTTAGGCCCAGAAAGTTTAAATAGTTTGCCCAAGGTTGCGCAGCTATTGAGGAGAGCGCAGCAATGCAGACTGAGCTGGTTCGACCACTTGTCCCTCTTCTCCACACTGTCTTTCTCTTTCTGTTCTTTAAGATTCATGCCCACGGGATAGATCCATGTTGTGGTTCATTTAAACAACGCAGCCATTTTTCTTTTCCTTTCTGACTTTCCCAGCTCTCCTGTCCTGGGATTTGATGCTGGAAGCAAGGCGTGGAGACCTAGGAAAGCCCAAGGCCTTGTCAACTGTGCCTAGTACGATTGTAGAGTCGTTCTGACTGAAAATGGTGTCGTGTGCTCCAAGGTGCATATACTCTTTTACGCTGCGCATCAGATTTTATGTCCCTTTAAACTACTGCTGTCCACAGGGTTGCATTATTATTCTAACCCTCAGACACAATAATCTAGGAAGCGATATAAACAAAATTAAGACAACCAACACGAATCAGCTTTTAAGCCAGTGCGTACTTGATCCGAAGAAACCCAGGGCCCTGATGCCGAAAGCATGTGGTTTTGCAACTCAAGCTGGGGAAAGGCTGATGATTCACATCAGTATTTGTGTATTTGTGCTTTGAGTTTTGGGTGGAGTTGTTTCAAAAAACCCAAAACACAAACAACCACCACCAACAACAACAACAACAAAAACAAAGAAAAACTATAAGGAATTACTGATGTCTCTTTAGTGTGTTTTGTATTCCACTTGAATAGGTTTTTGTTTAATGATGTTTATGTTTGGGGATTTTTATGTCTCTTAGTAATCCAAAGTGACATTAAACAGAACAAATGCTGTGTTGATAATCTTAAGGGAAAAGGGAAATTAACTTTATTCTTTTACTGGGCAATTATGCCAATTGTAGAAATAGGTCATTCCAAACAAACTCTCTCAAAACATTGACCTTCAAAGAAGGAAGAGTGGACATCATAGAATAAACATGGAGCAATTGACATACAGAGAGCTTAGGCCAATTGGCAAGGCCTGAGTTAATGGACAAGCATGAATCCTATAGTAGTAATTGCAAACATTTATAATAATGCTAATAGCAATAATAATAGCTTACATTTACTGTTTGCTTATTTGTGCCAGGAACTTGGCTAAAGGCTTGTATATATTATCATATTTAATCCAACCCAGGTTGCAAAGCAAAATTAGGGAAAATATAATTTTGTATTTTCGAAATCTTCTTGGGGTTTTCAGTTAAGTCTTACATTATGCTTAGTTATTTGTACTTGTAGGCCGTGGAGAATTGAGGCACCTTGTTTGGGAAGAGAGGTGTGAAGACTGAGAGGCTCAGGAGGAGCACGTAGGGGCAGGGCGCTTCCAGAGGCAGAGTGCCTGGACATGGCCCTTCGCCCCTCCGTGAATTCACGATGTAGCTATGAGCGACCTCTTCTGGTCCCTCTTCTCTCATTGGTACAGAGTGAAAAGAATATTAGGCATCCATCACTTTCAGTTCTCATTAAAAATGCTACCCAGCTGCCATCTAGAGTTGACTTCAATTCCTACAGATCCCGAGGGTGCTCCATAGGGTTTACAATGGCCGATTTTGCGAAACTCTTAGCCTTTCTTTCATGGGGTGACCAGAGGGTCTGGAACGTACAGCCTTTTTGAGAGCAGCCATGTACTTAATGATTTGCTTCCCCAAAGGACAGGTGCTATTAAGCACCCCAAATGAGACAAGTCCCAGACGCAAATAGGCCTTCAGTAAATATTAGTTCTTGTTACTATTCTTAACCTGCGTGACTCTTCAAAACGTGGTTTCATCTTCAGTTGAAGAGCTTTTGCTCTGCTCTGGGTAGTCCTACAGGTACTTGTGGGGGAGCCCAGCTCCTGTGCAGACGAGTCCCTGGCCAGCTTGTTGTGGCTCCCTAATGCTTGGAGGGAAAGGTGGAGGACGAACACTCAGACAGCTCATTCCTTAGGCTTCTTCTCTTTTCCTTTTTACTCTTTTCTGAGAGAGGGCCCATGATTAACTTGGGCACTGCCAAAACCGGCCAGGAAAGGGAACTTGGAGGACCAGCTTGACCAATTTCTGATTATAATTTAGTTTTCTGTGTCTGTTTAAACACCGACATAGGAGGACCTGCCTCACCATCACCCTTGATGTCCAACATTTAATTCCTAATAATGGGAATTAAAAGAAGCTATAATTACAGTAGGCTGTGGCATTCAAGCGTCTCTCTCTCTCTCTCTTTGTTTTTTTGAAGCTCAATTTATTTCTCAAAGAACTTTTTGGAGATACCAATGTTTGTTTGTTTGATGCAAAAAGCGATTTCCAGAAGAGGTCAGCCTTACAGTCACATAAGCAGCATCGGCTTTGCGACAACGAAGGACAGAGACAGTCATTGACTTTATCCAGTGCTGTTGGCATCAGGACAAAATCCTCTGGATTTCTCCCAAGGGCATATTACGTTTCACCTGTGTGTGGACACTGACCCTGTTTACAGCTACTAGAGAGAGACTTTGGGGGAGTTTTTTTGATATTACCAGGTCTTTCTTTCTTCCACAACGTCCAGATATCTACGTCGCAGTCTATGCAGGTTGAATGGGTTCTGAAGATAACGTCTGCCAGAGGGATGGTTCCCGGGTCGGGTCGCAGGAAGGAGGGGCTCGAGTGTGGAGATGAGGCAGCCTGACTCTGGGGGTGATGGAGGTTCTCTCAATAGCGTGGTTTCTCCGCTTTTCGCAGATTGAAGTGCACCTCGGCCCCACACAGACCCCCAACCACACATTTAGTGGTTAGGCTTAGCGTTGGCAGGTTGGTTAGGTGTTCTACTGGTGGCTCTATTTGTAGTCGCCTGGTTGCTCTTTACCGTCTTACCTTCTTGCTCTTCTTTAGAAGGCCTTGGTGGCACAGTGGTGAAGTGCCAAGTTGCTATCGGAAAGGTAGAAAGAAAGGCCGGTGGTTTAAGACCATGAACGAAAGGCACAACTGTCAGCTGTCATGACGATCATAGCCCTGAAACCCTCCAAGACGGTTAGCGAGACGTGGCCTGTTGGGTCTCCATGAGAACTGACTTGACAGCCACACGTTGCTTTGGGGTTTGGCGTAGGAAGCGTAGTAAAACCTGCGAAAGCCGGAGCCCGTGTAAGGTGGACATCTGACAGAGCAGAAAGACTCAAATATCTCCCATTCCTAGGGAGTGATAGAAAAATGTCCCCCGTTGAAGGTAGAAAACTTATGAGAATGGGAAAAACAAGCCAATCCCATTGAGTTTTGGGTCTCGCAGTTTTCATTCTACTTTAGGTAATGAGTTAATTAAAAAAAATGTTTTACCATTGGTAGAAAAAAAAATTGTATTTCACAAGAAGTCCTTCATAGAATAAAGTAATAGCAGTTACCTTTTTTTTAAACTTCATATGATGAGACACTTTGCTCTAAGCACTTTGTACAGGTCATTTAATTCTCTCAGTAACCCTAAGCAACGAGTGCCATGATCATTCACACTTGCACTTGACAAAACAGAAGCTCAGAGAGTTAAGGAAGTTACCCAAGGTCACTCAGCTACTAAGTGATGGAGCTGTGAGTGGGACCCAGGCCATTTGACTTCTGCCTCTCTAACAAACAGCACACTTTAAAGTAGCTGATGTGATTTTTTTAGAGTTATGCATTTAGTTGTTGAGATTAATCATTTTATTGGGAGCTTATACAACTTTTATCACAATCCTCCTTTTCTCATCTGATATTCCTTCTTTAGATCCTGTTTGGACATCCATCTTAAAGTTACAGTTTGTGTAGACATCAATTTAAAGCCGTTGTTATTGCTGGAAACTTTGGACTTAAAGTTAGGTCAGAGTTAAACATACAAAGTATGTGTAATCATCTGTCTGCCTGTTGAGGATACTTGGGACATCTTTCTGTCTCGTTCATTGCATGGTTGGAAAGCAAGCTCTCTCTAGTTTGCTACTGCCTGTGTGTGTACAGAGAAAAGCATAAAGAGTCCAGTCTCGTCACACGATTGTTTTCTAAAAATAGAGGAAGGCCCTGTTGAGCCAAGCAAAGAAAGCACATTTTGCACCCCTCTCCACACCCTGCACGTCTCACCAAGTAGTTCAGCTTTTACTTTCCCTCACCCCACTCAAAACCAACGCACCAATAAGACTCTAAGACGGGGTGCTTAGGGGTCCCTTATAGAATTCATAGGGCTACTGAACATGGACAGTGAAACAGATCTATCTTTATTCTCACCAAGCTCTAACTGAAATCCATCATCTCCTTTCATTATAAATGTAGGTAGCAAATCGCAGGGTGCTTAACACCACCTGTAACTATTGGCAATAGAAAACCAGGTATGAACATAACACACTATCGTTGTGGCAGATATCTGAAGATAAGGTTTACATTGATAATTTTTTTTAAAAGTCACCCTAGTCAGTAGGTGTTTGATAAGTCTTACTCGACATATTAACAACTTATTCAACACATTAACAAATAAGCACGAGCATAAGCAATGCCCAAACGCATCGAGCACATTGCTATGAGGTTGATTCCAGATCAGCTGAAAGGTTTGAACTGGCAGTCTTGCAGTTAGCAGTCTGATCACTTAGCCCTCTGTACCACCAGGACGCCTTTATTGCAATAAATCAACTTAAAAAAAGATTTTGCTAATTATTTTTCAATATCATTGGTTTCCTTGTCAATCCTATGTATTTAAATGATGCCATTAAAAAAAGTGTTCTGACATGGGGTGGGGTGGGGTGGCGGTGGGCGGTGGCGGAGAGTGACAGACATCACCCCTCCAACCCCCCCACCCAAAAAAAATAAAAAGGAATGGGAAACTCCTGCATTAGGCAGTGTGTCTCCCAAAGGCAGTCAGCTTAGGAGAAAGGTTGATAACTGTCTGGTGTTTGTTCCTTTGATGGCGCAGAGGTTGTACCTGCAAGAGCACACAGCAGCTTGCGACTTGCTGAGCTCTGAAGGAATCCCCCCAGAGAGGAAGACAAGTGTGTTGGCTCCACCAGTCTGAGCTGTAATCTTGTTAAGGCCATCAATGGACTGTACAACCTCCGGCAGATTACTTAATCTCTGGACATCCATGTCTTCATAGGTCAAATGAGGACACATGGATACTGATACTCTCCTTTTGTGATGACTGAGGATTAGAGAAAATCAAATTAAAATGTTTATTATATATAAGTGGTTAATGATTGACAACTACTGCTATTAGTAGCTGCAAACACACAACTAAGACAAGTTTTGGCCTACGGGGTTTATTATAGCAGAATTGAGGGGGTTGCAGGAATGAGTAACTAATTAATTTGCAAACACTCTTGGATGGGCTTTAGAGTACATGCAATCCGTATGGCACTTAGTTTACTACACAGTGAATGTTGCTTTTAAAAACAAAATTAAAATTTGATTATTGTTTTCTTAAGTTTCTGAAAAATGAAACCCCATTTGTTAAATCAATGTTTCTTCTTTTGAGGTGTTGGAGAAAATTTGACAGATCCATCTGTTATAAAACCTGAAGACAAACGGTAAGTAAATGTATGATATTTCTATTTAGAAAATTGCTTTGATCACATTGTACCTGTTTTGGTAACTTATAAACATACATATACTTGTCTAGATTTTAGAAAAACTTCGAGCTATCTTATGTATGCACACACACACGCACGCACACACACACACAGAGATTTTTAAATCAAGACCTATATTAGGCCATGAGGCCAACAATATAGCAATAACAAACAATCTGGAGGTAGGTCCCCAAACCCAAACACATTGTCATCCAGTCGGCTCCAATTCTTAGCAACCCTTCAGGACAGACGAGCACTATTCTACAGGGTTTCCAAGGCTGTCAATCATCAAGGAAGCAGAGTGCCATGTCTTTCTCCTTCACACCAGTTTGTGAGGTTGAACTGCCAAATGTTTAAGCCAGTGTGCTACTGAGGCTCCTGGAGTTAGATGAACCCACTGCTGTTGAGTCTATCCAACTTTCTCCCCTCAGAGCCACTGATGGGTTTAAACCATGGATCTTGCAGCTGGCAGCACAATACTCACCTACTAGCACCACTACGACGGTAGTTTGATTAAAACACCTGCTGCCTTCAAGAGGATTAGGACTCACAATGAGCCTATCTAAAATGTCCAGGACTGTCAATCTTTATGGGAACAGATAGTCTTAACTCTTTCCACAGACCTTATTGGTAGCAGTCCACCATCTACCCCACAGTGCCACTGGGGCTGGAGTTAGATTAGCTCTCATAAATAGTACCACGAATTACTAGAACAAACACATTTAATGAATGATGGAAGAAGTATAGTCAAAATGCTCCTTAGAAGTGAGAAATAATAATGGGAATAATGATTTCCTGAGGGTATGGGAAGAGAAGTGGGGGGACGGAGGGGAAGGGGGAACTGATAGCAATGATGACTATATAACCCCACTGGAGGGGAACAAACAACAGAATTGTAGGTGAACAGACTCACTGGAAAGTGTAAAATATGGCAAAATAATCATAATATAATAACTTTTCCTGGAGGGCAGAGACGGGGAGGGAGGGAATAAAGGGGAGCTGATATCAAAGAGTTCAAGAAGAAAGAAAATGTTTTGAAAATGATGGTGGCAACAATTGTACAATTATGCTTGATATAATTGAATGATGCATTGTTACAATATCCGTAAGAGCTCCCAATAAAATGATTTTTTAAAAGAAGACACTCACACACAAAGAAGTGAAAACACGGAGACTTCATCTCATGCACTCTGAACATATTATCAGGATGGAGACAAATATGCTTGGTAAAGTGGAGGATCACTGGGAACAAGAAAAAACTCATTGAGCTGAATTGACTCATTGGACACAACAGTGGGTCGAAGCATAGCAGTAATTGTGAGAACAGTAAAGAACCAGGTTCATTCGCTTGGACGTAGACCAGCTAGGAGTTGTAGCCAATTTCATGGCAATTAACAGTAGCACTGAGGAGCCCCACCGCTAGGTCAGCAGTTTGAAACTACCAGCTGCTCTGCAAGAGAAAGATGAGGCTTTCTACGCCCTTGAAAAGTACTATGGATTGCGAAAAGAACAAACAAACCAGTGTTTGCAAAGTACAGCCAGAATGCTCTTTGATGCATGGTGAAGACTTCGTCTCCTGTACTTTGGACATGTTGTCAGCAGAGACCAGTCCCTGGAGAAGGAGATCATGTAGAGGAGCAGAGCAAAGGGGAAGACCCTCACTAAGATGGATTGGCGCTGTGGCTGCACTGATGGGCTCCCGTCGTGAGGACGGCCCAGGACCAGGCAACGTTTCCTTCCATTGCTCATTGGGTTGCTATGAATCGGAATCAACTTGATGGAGCCCAAGAAGAACACCAGCAACAACGTGGTTAGATTTTGCTGCAAATTTGGCTTTGAACTTTTTAGTGTCCAAACAAAAGAGAGACTTATGAGCAAATTTAGTCCCTACTGGCTTCCTGACATTCCTGAAATCAGTGAATGTCACAGAAGAGGCATGGTTTCCTTTGTGGCTCTCACAGTGAAACATTGCATCTTATCACAGGCAATATCTTCTATCACATGCCTCTGTGAGCTTTCACTAAAGGCATAGACGGTTCTATTTAGTTCCAACAAATGCACGAGAGGCCAACACAGTGTGGGTGAAAATTAAGACGGTCTGACTTAATTCAGGGCCAATATTTAAATGATATAGAAGGATGTGTGATCTGAACATCTGTTGAATTCTTTTGGGCATTTAATCCTGTGACCAGGTTTTGGGGGACACTTGTCAAACTTTTACGATGAGTATAAGTTGACTTGATGTCATTGAGTTTGGTTTTGAGAGAGTGAAGCGGTAGAGCTGAATAAAGACTGGTCAGTACAGCAGATGGTGAGTATGGGTATTTGAAAAGCAAAGTGGTGTTGCTAATTAAAGACTGGTCAATATGGCAGACAGAACAAGAACAACACAAACCCAAACAAACCAGCTGATATTGAATTGGTTCCAGCGACTTGTGCGACATAACTTTTTCAATGGTTGCTTTTTTAAGAAGTAGATTTTTCTTTTGAGGCACTTGTGGGTGAACTTGACCTTCCAGCCCTTTGGAGAGTAGCTGAGTAGGTTCACTGCTTTTATCCATTGATTGATAATGGCGATTCTCAAACATCAGCTTTGATTTTGAGTTGAGCTGCTAACCACAAGATCAGTGGTTCAAAACTAACAACATCTTCTTGACGCTTTCTACTCCTACAAAGAGTTACAGTCTTGGAAACCCACAGGGGCAGTCCTATGCAGTCCTATAGGGTTACTATGAGTTGGAATAACTTGATGGTAGTAAGGGGTTTTTGTTGGACCCCTAGGGTTTACAGTTAGTTGATGTGGGGTTAAGCCTTGTAATCTGTATTCTAATAAGTTCCTAGGTAATATATTGATCTGGAGACCACATTTTGAGAACTATTGACATACGACACTTTTACTTTTTCGTTGTTCTTAAATGTCTATATTAACACGTGGACTGTAGGGAAAAAACCCTACATAATCGGTCCTCTCTACATCTTAGGGGGCCTCAAAAGGTTATATTAAAAGATAGTATGAACTTTCTACAAACCTTCATATTAAAATCTGAAATTTTTGCTTTCCCCCAGACAGAGACTAATAAATATTCACTGCTTTAATTCTCCTTTCTTTCATGGAACTATTTAAATATAGTCCCATCTGTAGGCTTCTAATCAGAGAGGTCCTTCTAAAAGTGTTTTAACGGTTTAGTTGGACTGGGTGAGCTAGACAAGATACAAGTCCACCTTATTGCTCTTGAGATTTTCAATTCCTATGATATTTGACTAGGGAGCCCATGTTGTAACCTGGAGGCTGCTCATACAGGTTTTATTATTTTTCACTTTAGTTCTACTAAGGTGTTTTTAGGTAAAAATATTATTTCTTCAATAGCCTGCCCACCCAAGGATTTGTGCTAGGAACTTTGTACTACAAGCACT